GACATAGTCCCCGTATACTTACCACTGAAAAAGGTTTCGACTTGTTCTCGGACTCTGAGCGGTTCATTGGAGCATAGGCTTCCACTAGGTTAAGCATTCCACTTCATCTTACTTTGTGCTACAGCTATATTCATTGACGGTTGCAGAAGCTCTTTTTCTGATTTTTCTATTTCGGTGTATCCTCACCGTTACTTAAAATGAAGTTTTTTGCTGGTTGCACCGACTTAGTTCGTCACTGTCTCCATTTGATTTTTCACAGTTTTCTCGAAACAAGCGTTTCCGTGTAACTGAATAAAGGTACCTCGGAATCATCGTTTTGTCACCTTTGAAGCCCTCCTCTCAATATGCCAAGGTGGGCAGAAGGACGATCAGTGTTCTTCTCGCCACTAGAAGAAATTTCATGGATGTAGATAAGGAGCCATTTAGAAAAGTATACGGAACCATTATCCGTTAGCAACTGGAATATGGAAATCAGGCATGGCTCCCCTTACCGAAAAAAGATATCTAGCTGCTGGAAACTGTTCAATGGAGTGCGACAAAAGTCACGAAGGGCCCAAATTCCTTTTCATACAAATTCGGAATTAATTTGTCTGACCTATTCTTACTAGAATACAGGAAGCCCTGAGGATATCTCTTATACGCCACAGTGACGAGCCACAAAATTAGTAAGAGGTCAAGGTGCACTGCCGAGTGGGATCCGCCTGAATAATCTTAATTTTTATCCTCTGATTTATAGGCATTTGCGCGGAGACCTGACAAAACTTTCCGCATCGTGCGTGGCTTGGACTGTGTCCTCCTGTATTATCGCTTTTTCCAACTTGCCACTACATCTAACCTCCGCGACATTCCCTCGAACTACGCGTGTCCCATGGAACATTGGATGTGAGAGTATTTTTTCTCCAGTCGTGTAGCGGAACCGCAGACCAATCTGCCCGAGACGATTGTAATGTCTCAGTCTGTGTAGAGATTTAGGCATCGGCTTGACAGATATATGGTGCACCGACAAGCGGACTCTATGACCGTGTAACCATAAAAACCAGTGGGCTATGTTAGTCGAAGTCAACATTCGCCTGAAGGCGTAATTTCTTTATATTGTTGCTAATTCTTTCGATTTTTATAGGAAGAAAAAGGAGTTCAAAGGCGTATGCCTATCTTGCTCAAATAAACTAAAATAAGGAGGGCCTGCCGGATTGTGGGGGTTAGTGATTGAGCCCTGCAATTCGTTATTTCACCGTATTGACTACAAAGAACAACCTGCGTAGGAACTCTCTCAAACTTCAAGAAATCTTATTCCGCCTGGATGCTAGTCGGTGCTAGTTTTCGCAGCAAGTTGTTGGCTCCTAGAACGGACCTCCCGAGGCTATAATAATGACGGTCACAACGGAGGAATTTAAATTGGCTATACGTTTAATTTGAAAATGTCATTTAATCAGTCTGGAAACTTCTGTTACATCAAATCAGGGCTTCGAACATACCTACGGCTAACGTATTGATATATTTTTGAAGATAGTAGGTTCCTTAGGAAAAGTAGGAACTTTAACATAAAATTTTCGACGTCGGTTCCCCCCAATCTTGTCGTCAGATTTGAGCAAGTGTACAGAAACAGTCAAAACTTCAAGCATGAAAATTGGAATGGTCAGTCCTGGCTTATTAACCGTCGCCAACCACGCACATCCAACTCCGAGGTGAGTTTCGTAGCACGACCGGATGAGGCTTGATCAAATAGTGGAATTACAATCGGGAGTTTTCGATTTGATTACATCATCTCGTCTTTGGGAGAAGTGAATAGTGAGAGGTGGGATTGTCGCAACAGAGTGTATACATGTACAGATGTTATAGCGCTAGGCAGACATCCGTGGGAGGTGGAATGGGCATTGTGTTGCAATAGATGCCGGAGGTAAGGGGAATCGTTCGGAAATTCAACTATGACTGGAAGCGTCGTGGGGGTGGACTGACGATACAGTGAGGTTCTGCATGGCCAGGAGATGGATTGACAGCCTTCGTTTTAAGTTGAGCGCAAGGCAGTGGGCCATGCACGCACACCTTCATAGTAAGCATCCATGTCGACAAGGTGGTTGATGCAGCATGTGTAAGAGTCTTAAGCCTAGGGACATTCTTGCGCCTGTTCGGAGCTAGCCATGCTGGCCGCATTGGAGGGGGTGGACAAACGCAAAGGGGCAAGGGGTCACGTCGTCGATAGCCAACTTGTACTTGTTAATGGACGTCCGAAGTCGTTGACCTGAATGGTCAGTGGAATTGGAATATCGAACAGTGTATGGTAAGCAACAAATGAGATCACTTCGCCACCTTTTGCTATGGGGCCCTATTTCTCGGGATAAAGCCGTGCACAGGGAACCTCACGGTTTGTGGGCGATGCAGCTTTCAAACCGGTTTAATTGTCAGGCGACCGCACCAGCAGTTATTTGCACGTTGGGCAGGGAGTAAAACTTTCGTGACACAACTTTTCCAGATGTCCGAGGTTTACGCTTGCCTCTCGCGTCTAAGACAATTATTCACAAAGTGACGTTGGTTAGAAGAAGATTTTATTCCGAACAGGCCAGTCGGAGGACAAGATCATTGCTTTTGCAGCCGCCGATTCCATGCGGACGACCACATCTCTGAGTAGCATTGTTTTTGCCGACGCAAGGATAGGCAGTGCGGTAGCTTTCGGCACAGGTATTCGCAGAAATTACTTTCACGTCATCGGAGTTGGCCACTAAGGAACGTAGACGTTAACAAAGATAGCGAGTTTGTTTCCGTGTTGTAGCATCTTCATAGTCATGAGCCAGTGACTGATGCACTGCGACTGACAGGACTGCAATTTCACGGCCTTGCTTCTGATGGCAAAAGCGATTCCGACTTCTCGCCGTTCTTTCCTTAGACGCCCATCCCAGAAGAAGGTTATCTGACATACAAGCATTGCAGGTGGCGCTGTTTAGATAAGTTTGGCATCACCGAGAGCCACGGTGTCCATTTTGAATCGGGTAAATTCGTAGGCGGCCAGAGCCTCCCTTCTTTCCGGACAGCTTCGCTTCCTAGGATCCCTCATCAGATATGTTAATTTTTCGATTTTTCAGTTCATACATCGTGCCCCTCACAGAATACGCTCTATCGACGCTCTTGGCGGAATCTTCTGTATTCGACATATACTAGTAGTCTGGTCACATCTACCTTGCCCCCTCCTCGGCTGGACTCGGCTGAATGTAACCGATTGCATCTGGGTTCCTATCTCCTCGAGACTGGTTTTCTATTCGCCACTTTGACCCAAATGGCCTCATCCAGCATATGAATTCTACCTTGATGATGTCCGTTTCGAACCTTTTCCTCAATACCACATGGAGTCCAGGCGTGCCTGACCCGCCTACTTACCCCTTCATGAAATCCGATATACACTGCCACATACAGGGCGGTTCTGCCTGCTTTTTATACACTCAGGAGCGAGAGTTTTTTCTCCTATACTGTTAATCCAGTAATACTCATTTTGTTTATATGTCAGGAGTTTTCTTCACTGTTCGATCATAATTCTTCGTAACATACTACTTATTCAATAACTATAAATTAAGCATTGTATAGATTCTGTATACCTGTTCTAAAATTCTAAACTTCATGTAAAAGTTATTCTTATTTGCAAGGAACAGGCCTTCACGGGTCTTGAATAAAAAATATTATTATTGACATAAAACAAGCATCAGAGACTTCCGGACTCAGACTTCTGAGACTGTCAGCGAGGGGCAGGAAGGATAGGACGTAACTTACTGTTTTGTGATTTTTGACTTCACACTTGCATCCGCAAGCCACTGTTAACTTGTTGAGGGCATGCTTTACTAGCAGTTTTTCAAGATACATTCTCCAGCCCATTCCTTGCAAAGGAGTAGGTAGTGATACCCCCAAGTAGAGTTGTTAAGTCATTCCAGATTGTTGTCGAAATCTAAGAGCGGTCAGGGCTTTGATTAATGAGAATATAATCCGAGTTAGTTCATGCCGCATACGAAACTTTACGTTACCACCTATGTAGGAATTTTTGTAGGGTTGGGGAGGGAGTTTGGGGGCTGCCGGACACCCTCAAATGGTTTAGCTCCCCGGTCAAGGCCGGCTTCCAGCGTGTGGCCTCCGTGCTGAGCAGGGCTTTATGGAACCAAAATGAAGAGTTGGGTACCGGGATGGGGCAAGACATAAGTATGCGCCACGATCACCGATGTATTTGGCGGGGACTGTCAATGTACAACTCGTAGGAGCGTCTTACCACTATAGTCGTGCCTGCACTACCAGGCCCACATGCTGTCGTCTATGGCACATCTTTGTGCATGGTAGTTGCCGAAAGTGTATGTGTGGCAGAGGTATACTCGTCAGCATAAGGTTATGCAAAGTTCATTTAAACGCATCGATGAACGTGGCACGACGTGCGTTTGCACCCAGTGCACCCTGCGCTCTCATTGAAGCCACTCATAATATAGGTGACTGGGTGAGTTGTTTGAAGCCTGGTTTACTTTCGAGCCACATCATAAGAATAATCTCTTGGGGTATCTCTGAGAGCTCTCCAGACCAGTAAGAATTTGTTGGGTTGTCTGGATTGCGGTTAAGCACTTTTGGTATTGTTTATAATATGAAGCATTTGGTTGAGGTTCAAATTTTCAACGTTTATGTGCACAGACCCGTCTTCTGAAATGTTTTGGCTTTGTGTTTACTGCCTGGCGCGCCATGTTCCCAACGTTTTTTTCTGTTTTAGCTATCTAGCCAGTTGCACTATGTTCTGCTTGTTGCCCTTCCAGAACTCCTCCTAATTCTATGGTACTGGAGGACATTTTGTTACTTACCTTAGGCGCAATGCTCCTGTTGATAATTAAAAATAGGAGCCCCGGTATTATGAAGTCAGCGCGTTTGACCGCGGACTCGTAGATCCTTAATCGGTCACTCTTGACACCTAGTATCCACAGCCACGTGGAGGACTTCGAACCAACCTCGAGCACGGGCGCCCCTTTTGTAATCGTGACGACTTCCTCATGGCGGACCCGGTACAGGATTTTTTGGCGCGTGAGAAGGATGCCCTCGGTGATATTGCCAACGAATTAGGAGGCGATGGCTCAGGTTGGATTCCTTAACGCTCAGTGTTCTATGTGACGTGCTTCTTTAAATGAGACATACAGACAAAGTGGGGTGTTGCCATTTGCTTTGCTGCCTCTTGACTGCCAGCATTGGCTCTTCCTTCAAAATAGAACGAATCCAGCAAATTACTCGTTTCCGGTTGCATCTTATCAAAACCGTCGTTGAGTTGTTAGTATTTGATACTATTCAAACACGAGTTTTAATGTTTTAGAACATTAAACATCGTAATTAGGATGTCACTCTCACTCATATTTTATTCCCGCCTCTGCGCGCTTCAGTGTCCGCCACTTAGATATTTCTTGGGAGAACTACAGATAGATGGCGGGGGAGTCATCCTTATCGGGTTGTACCGACGTAGCACCACGTTGTGATGGTTGGTCTCTGGAATGTTTTTGGACCCTTTCGTCGCCTTCCAGAAGCTAAGGTTTTGTCGGATTTCAGATTATTTTATCTGACGTTTCTTCAGTCAACTGAGTGTCCAATCGTCTATTTCCACCATTTTGTGTTTTTGTCACGTACTCTTATTCTGTGGAAGTAAAGTACCTCGAATAGAGCACCGACGATCAGGATAATTACGGTGACACTGGTGTGGTTTTGCTCGTTTGGAGGTAAAGTCCAGTTACATAAATGCAAAAAAGAAGATTCAGTACCTTACGTGCGTTTTACTGATATTTAACTGGGATTCACTTTTCCCGTTCCCGTTGTTTGCCTCGTTCCCTATGCATGCACTCTGGTAATGCTCTCGCCGACCATGCTCATGCAGGACCACGACCAAACACGATCGTGGTCGGCAAACGGGACTGTTAGTTCAGGCATTTATCCTACCATTGTCGTGTCCATCAACCGCTCAAAATTTCCATAAATCTCCTTTAGTTTAGCATTTTGTCAATACTGATGCGTTTTCACTACGCTTATGGATTTGTGATTACTACTAGAAGTGTCCCTGTTTGTCAACCATTGATGTGTCGTAAACATTTGAAGTGCCACGTCCGTACTTGTTTAAATAGGCACAGTAGTTTCTCTAGTTGAACCATCTCTCACTTCTGTCTTACACTTGCAATAATTTACCAAATTCGGGATTATTTTCGTAACCAAACGGCATGTGAACTTTTTGAAGAATATTGCATCTAGAGATCGACCACCTCTTTAAGATTTCGCCAACAAAGTAGCTACGTTCTCTTTTCAGGAAAAAATGTGCAATTCATACCCATTTGGGGCCTGCAGTCATCCATACTCAGCCAGAAAATTTTCCCAGCTTGGTTGTCCTTCTTTATGCTCACTTCAGTTTTGCATTTTTGAAGGCTAACAGTTTCATCTGGAGACTGAACAGTTAGTCCGTGCCTTTATTCGATTTCCTCACTAATGTTGAAAAGGTATGACCTACTCCAGGGTTCGAAGCCATCTGGCTAATCAATAAGTTACTTAAAAAGTACTGGACACCTGAAACGTCGGCGAGACGGCGCCTTGCATTTCGCTAAGTGCGTTTCTTCAGCCCGCGGGCGTAAGTGTTGCATAAGGGAACGTCGGGTACCGAATGCGGACCGTTTTAACATTGTAAAATATGAACATGAAAAAGTGTTGTCTTCTTAGACGTCGGTTCATTGGACGATCTGCGTGATGCTAGCGAAGCCGTGGCGCAACACCCCTCCTCCCACTCTCCTGCTGCTAGCGGTGATCAACTGACCCATGAGAATGCAACGGCCTCCCATAATGATTTTGTCACAGTTCCTCCGCATCTGAACGCGGAAGAGGAGGCCCGGCCCAGGTCATCAGCCTCGTCACACGCCTCCTCTTACCAAAGCGGTAAAGAAAAAGGGCCTGCAACGCCAATGGCATCGGCCATGATGGAGTCCTGGCGCGCAAACTTTGAGGCAAACATCAAAGAGCGCGATGAGCAGGAGGAACGAAAGCGTCAGGAACTGGAAGCTAATGCCAAAAGGGTTAGCTCTCGATATTTTGCCTCCACACGTCTTTATCAGATAACTTGCTGTCGGCACTACCTTTATCCTGTTTGTTTTACAGGAACTTGACACCTGGTACTCAAACTACCGCAGCCAGCTGGCGGCCAGGTCGACAGACAACAGATCAGAGGGTCCAAAGGACGCATCGGGCAAGGTCTACAACAGTTATTCAGGCCCGAAACCATCTGTTAACGACACACAGGTCTGGGATAGTGTTTGCAGCATGTGCGACCTGCAGGTATAACATCCGTTTTGTCCCTTTCACTGCCTAGTCGCATCCGGAAAGTAACGACCTTCCGGGCCATCTTTTGCTCAAAAAATCCGTTCACCACGGCCTGTAAATGAAACGAACAGGCGTTGGGGTCCAATGTTAAAAACGCCAAGAACTGTGGCCCTCGTTAGTACTTTGAGAGTTTTTCATGGAACCTCGTCACAGGATCCGTTGGATTGTGCGAACCTAGCTCCCCACCATTCCTATTTACAAATCGTCCCCTTACTTATTGTGAGCTAAGCGCACCACTTATAGATAAGTCGTTAGCTGTGTTGGTGTGGCCTGTGTAAATCCACTTTTCTTCGCGCGCGCTCCGTTTGTTGTTTCGTCGTGGATCTTGTGCTGCCACGTGCTTCGCCGCCCATGATGTCGTGGGGTGTAGGCGGGTGACTAGACAGGGCTTTCAGTTGATGATCTGGTGAGAGATATGAAAGGTCTAACCATCTAGTGGTCTCAAAGGCGGAATATAAACTGAATAGGCAAACTGAGGCTCATTCATACTCTTAAAATGCGTGCGTAAAAGTAGGAACAAGTCAGTTGTTTGAGGACCGCATACAGTCAGTCGAATGCTGGGTAGTCCTTTATTATTAATCTCCAGAAACTTCCAGGAGCCTTTTTGATCATGATCACCAGCAAGCATTTACGTCTTAGTCTTGAAAATGTGCATTACCCCTGCATGATATGTGAGGACTGCTTTTAGGAGGGCCTTCTAGCCCCTGTCTAGGCACTTAAAAATGAGCAGCCCTGGTTTGAACTGAGTGATTGCGCACTGTTGACAATCGTTAGTTTGATAAGACATCTCTAACGGTATGTACTACTTTATCAATATTACGCTGACACTATCCGAACTCCCAACCACCCCCTGTTGCCAATGCATTTCACAGAGTTGAATGAAGTCCCCTTCGCCTACCTTGAATCTTTCCATGCTTTACACTAGCATCAAGTCGGATTTGATAACTGACTCAGCCATTTTATTCCAAGCCCCAATTAAATGCGGGGACTGAATTATCAGTGAAAAGCATTTGTCAGGCGAGTAGTTTGCCAAGATAACCCACGATTTGCGCAGTTCGGAAGTAGTAAAAAACACATGCCGCTTCTGACTAGACTCGCACTATTCTGAGAGGCTACGAATTGTTCTTCACGCCCTACATTCACGTTATCCCATTATCAGCAGGGCTCTTTCATTCTTGTTGCTTTCGATCTGTGCACGACAGACGGATGTCTCACAAACCTGTCTACCACATACGCCATCCATTGAGGCCATATAAACGGAGTAGTTAGCTATTAATAAATCACTGGGATATACAGTAGATGTGCTATCCCGTGGAATGTTAACTTGAGTTCTGGAATATGTTTTCAATTTGAAGCGATTACTTTCGTGTGGTTGTAACGTTACTTATAGTGTAGCATAATCCTAAGATATTTTAGTCAGCAGGGTTATAAATTACATAAAATGTACACAAAAACATTCTTAAACCCATTTGATAGCAAATTACGCCCTTTTCAAATTTTTTACTCGAAGAAAGAGTATCTTTCGGTTTCAGAAAAGTTTCTTATTATAAGATTTTTAGGACCGTGAAGTGTCCATACAGCATCGCCTCAGCACGTTTATAAATGCTACTTATAAGGCATACCACCTGGTCCATATTCATTGCACAATTCTACGGGTCCGGCATGAAGTCATCCTAACGACCTAAAGAGATGTGTGATACTCCTTTGACGGGATGTATACAGTTTGGGAACCGTGAGTGCAAGTATAATGGCAGGCAAGATGTTATTACCGAAAAATACAAGGGAGACTGAAACTGCAATTTCAGGCTTATTAGCCGTCGTCAGCCAGTCATACCCAACGCCGAAGTGGGGAACTCGATCCCGCGACCCGTTACTTAGCAGTCCAACGCCTCTGACCACTGAGTCAAGCGCTCGTTGTCCTGTCGGTTTCGATCGGGAATGTACGATGGTAGGGGGGCGCTCACCGATCGTTCTTACAGAACTCACTCGTTCCGTTGTGCCTTACGGGCTCCCCCTCTATTCAGCCCAACGAACAGCCGCACAGCGGCGCATGATATAGGCAGGATGTTATTACCGACAAAAACAAGGAAGACCAGTAGGTATGGCAAAAAATTATTCGGAGGTTGAAAAAGTTTTTAAAAACCGGAAAGTGCTGTCCAAGTAGAAAATTTGAAGATGTACTTTGCAACAAAATGAGTACAAGAGGGAATACTTTTGTGCATGTTTTCTGTGTAATATATTCGAGCTTATAGGGACATCGGAACTCAATGGGAGGAATTCATACTACTTAAGTAGTTCTTATAGACGACCGAAAAGAAGCCCATCTATAAGCCTGGATCCCGGTGTGACTGAAATATCGTAGGATTATGCTGCACAATAGTAGCTATTACAACCCTACGTAAGTAATCGTCTCGAATCGAGAACACGTTTCAGGATTTCATGGGCTAGCACGTCAACTGTACTCCCTGACATACACATAAAATCTTTAGCCATCCACCAGTTCCGACCTTGTTTCCCCCTAGTCCATGTTGTGCCGCCGAGACCTTATATCATGAATTTTCTGTCAGTAAAACCTCTCAATCCGCCCCGCCTTTTCTTCGTTGTAGGCAAAAAACAGCAAGAGTGCCCATGATCTTACTCGGATGCGTGGCCTCCTCTTGAATTTGAAAACGCCGACGTCTGCTTCCTGAACTGAGCAACCTCTTCCATACTTTTTGTTGGTGTCTTTTTCACATGCACACACACAGGGCCTTGACAACGCCTGCGCAAACCATGCCTTAATTCTTTTTGCGTGTGGGTATGACCATCTGCGCAAACCGACACACTGTCTTCTGCCACTGACATTATTCTTCCACCGCATTGATGATGGCGACTTTTAGGTTGATTTTTTGCATTATATTTCTCTTCTACACCCTTATATACATTCTTTAGTGATGACTGCACCACCGCACTCCCCTCCCCCAATATTTGGCAATTACAAGCGTACACGAACTTGGCTCCATTGGGACCTATTGCAGATTGATTCCGACAGGCAGCTATTGTCGGTGTGGAACTGACCGAGATGGACACAGCGAAAAAATATTGGGCGGCACACATCAATCTATGTCGCTGACCGGCTGCTTACTGAGTATCTCCAGCACTAAACGATACACTACTTCAAAAATGAGCGTAGAATGTGATTTCCGAGGGCCTATTCCTTTGATGGGAAAAAGGATCCGAACTGCGGGAACCCAGTGTTACGCCGACACATTCCATAGGTCAAGAGGAATACGTGCGCTAGTAGCAGGCAAATCGTGCCCTTTCTTGTATTTGTTCTACCCCAATTGGAAGTCATTTCCATGACCCATCAGCGCACTCGTCACTAATAAATCCGACCTCCTTTGAAGCCACCAGGATGCGCTAAAAGTCGTGGCCAGGAAGGCTGCCAGTTGGCTGGGTAACTCGACCCTCATGGTCAGCTCGAGGACTGGAATGCAGGTCCATTGGCTTCCTCCATGGCCCTCGTAAACGTGAGACCCGGGTCCTCGTGTTTCTGCGGAAATCGGGCATATTGTGCAGGTAACAGCTCATGCGTGGCATTCGCAGACAGTGTTTAGCTCTGTCAGCTTCGACGCCATGGACCACCTCCGGCGGTCCTGACACTGAATTTCCGTCCTGGGCCTGGTGGGTGACGGAGAAGAGAGTGGGTTAAATGCTGCCCCACGACAAACTGGCGCACGCTTCGTGAACCCACCATGGGGCACACGGTGGTGTACCGCCAAGAATCATCGCCATGATCAAAACCTACTATCGCTCCACCACGGCGCGAATTCTGGTCCGCAACAGCCTTTCCCAACCGTTCGGTATTCGGTCTGGCGTTCGACAGGGTTGTACCCTGTCATCCATTATGTTCAATTACGCTATTGACTGGATTCTCGGGAGGGACCTGCACGAAAGGGACGGTGTTGAATTTGCACCCGGACACCGACTGACTGATCTCGACTACACCGATTGTATTGCCGTAGTTGCTTTAAGTTTTGGTGATCTGCAGTCAGTGGTGTCACGGGTGAACGAGGTCGCTAAGTCGGTCGGTTTATCCACAAACGCTGGGAGGACCAAAGTGTTTACAAGCTGCATCCCTGACCAGGAGAAGGCACCTCTCGGGATTGATGGCTGTCAACTTGAAAAAGTAGACAGTTTTAAATACCTCGGGGCGAGGCTGCTGCTGAATGGACAGAGTAGAGATGACATTGTCTCCCGATTTGGTGCTGCCCGACGGGCTTTCTCGAGCCTTGGAAAATGCCTTGTTCCGACGCGATCTCTCCATCGCCACTAAGATTCGCGTGTACCGTGCATCTGTCCGGCCTGTCCTCTTTGGTTGTGGATGCTGGGCTGTGCGCGTGGAGGACGATCGAAAACTGGAGCTATTTGACCACTGCTTGAGGACCATCCTTCGAATGAACTACACGGACTTCTCAAATGAAACAGCCCGCGCTCGCTGCGACAACATCGTAAGGATAACCCAGGCCATCCAAGAAAGGCGACTGAGGTGGTTTGGGCATGTTCTTCGTCGTCCACCCCAGGAGCTTGGTGTTACTGCGCTCTATCAGGCACCGCTACCCCATTGGAGGCGTCGAAGAGAAGGTAAGTTCAAAACCTGGCTCGACACTGTCCGTCAAGACATGGAAGTGGTTCATGAACCTTCGGTATTCGGTCTCCGTCGTTGGCGAAGGGAATGGGTTGAGCTGTCCAGATCTGCTGCCGCGGGTCGTCACGCGTGTAGAGGTACAGTTCGAGACATCATCGAGGCCGGCTAGATCAGGCATAATCGCAGCCGTACCAAGTAAAAGTACGCGGTGGATGTTGACGCTCGCGGTGGTCGAACTCTTGCCACCCCCATTTGGAGTCCTCGGCTCTAAACTACCATTGCTTGAGGCAGCTATCGGGCGCGATGCTTGTATTTCTACTTAAGCAGTGTCCATAAAAGACGTCCACCTGTACAAGCAGGAGGGTTCTATACGTCAGTGGGGAGTGTCAAACTTGCGAAATCCTGCTCGGCCACTCATTTCCTTTGTTCACCTCTTCTCTCGGCTGTCTACTGTCTTTTGCTGCGGCTCCTTACCAAGTGTACATGGTCAGTGTCTGTCGCCTGCTAACCACCTATTTAAAAGTCACAATCATACTCCCTGACCAAGTCCTTACATCCGTAATTCTTCCTCAACTCCACTGCCGCTGGGTAGTCACGTCATAGCGTTGCGGCTCATACGTACTTCCTGCTCTCTATCTTTTTGTCTTCAATAGAGCACCGAAATCTACCCCGTCCCAGTTTACAATTCCACTAACGTCGGAGGCGCTGATGTCTGCTTCCTGGCCTAAGGGGTCGACATTTTATGTTCTTCCCGCATGATATTTTGTCCGCCTCAATCAACGATGCCCATTCCCATTATCGTGGCTGAATAGTCCAACTCGGTGGCAAGAGAGGAAGCTCGGCGGTTGTTGGCCGGACTTCCTGGCCTCTTTTTTCTCGTTTACCTTGCGTTAAATGCTCGGATTCTGGAGGAGGCTAATTCGTGTCTGGGATGGACATTCACAGTGGAGACAGGTTAGAAATATGCCGGCGCTGCTGACAGCCCCCTCCGGGTGTCAGCGCTGCGGTGGATACGAAGTCCCGATAGGGACGATTGGGAGCCGGAACGGCCAGGTGGGTTTTATTCGATGGCGACGCTGCACGTGGGGAGCTGTTGGCGGTGCGATGGACACGAGCTTTTACGGCTAGTCCCGGTCTATAGCGAGCTTTAGGCATGGTGGACGGGTGAGGAGGTCTTAAGAGTGTTGGCAGCCGCGAGTTCTTGCTCTTTCGAATTCGCTTGGCTCCGGTGTCCGCTGCATCGTAAAAAACCAGACTTCGGGCTCCCCTGCCGCAGTTATCTAATGGTTGTGGGAAGGCAAAGTACCCACTGTTCTCCCCGGAGGGGCCGGAGGACAGTAGCAGTGCTCGATAGGGACTGGGTATCGGTGTCAACGGTGAAGAATAAGGAGGGTGTAATCGCTGAGCGCCGCTCTACCTCGCCGAGGGGGGGGGGTGGATAGGGAGATCGAGCAGCGAGGGGTATTGCAATTTCGGCTAGCTAGGTTTTTGGGCCAAAGGTGGGACGTTAAACGACATTCACTGACCGGGCGAACAGTATTCACGTGATTGTGAGAGGAAGGAGACCATTTGTATCAGAAATAAGTCAATGGAAAGTCTCAACAAAGCTGCCTCTGTCGAAGTTATTTTGAGTATATTTTTTGGGAAAGACTTAAAAGCAGTGTGCACTGACTCAAACGACTCCACCTGGCATCCTCCGTGATCAAGCCATCTCCAAATGCTACCATGGGACTCGGGAAGACTTAAATTTGGAGTGACTTTCGGAACAGAAAACACTGGACAAAACCCGTATGAGAGGACGCATTTGGTTGCAGTCGTGTGACGGTCCCCACTAAGTACGTTGATGCTGCTGCCGTTGAGTGGTACTGTGTAAAGACAAAGGTATGAACCAGATCAGTGCTATTCGGGAAATACTGGATTTATGACCTTCTCTAGTGGGAGGTTGCCACCAATATTCTAACTATCCCATCGCAATACTGACATTCTACTGGAGAGCAGTTACTGTCCCTATGATTTGGTCCCCATTTTTGCCATGCTAAATTCATCGTTGTTTGGTGGAAGGCCCTTATTGTCGCCTTCAAAGCCTGTAAATTTCACCTGTAGTTCATAGATTTCCCCACTCCCCCCCCGGTAACTTGGGAGGAAACCTTGTAATTTTAACGGTTCCTTCAAATTCCTCTGCGGTTGAGGATATTGACGGGGATTCGGTATCTTCCAGTCAGAAAGGAGCCTGGACAACCACGCGAACGCAACGTCAACGCGACGCCTATGCCCACCATAGCGTCCCGCCTATCCACTACAGATCAGACCTCTGATTCTACGTCAGACTACGGTTATATCCTTTTTAGATGTCTAAGTAAAGGTCCTGAAAAATAGTCATAACTTTCTTTGCCAAGCATCTTTGCCGACGCAGGGCTTGTCACACTTTGCATTTGCCTTGACTTGTGATAGTCATCCTTTATTCACCTTGACCCAACAGTGAAAAACTCGGCGACCTCCATGGGATTGGAACCCTCAACAGCAAGGAGAAAGCCTTAGTGCAGCCAACGCTCTATAGCCACCTGGGTTACGAGGCCCCACGGGGGGCCGTGAGTTTGATCACATTTGGGTCAAGTTACCCGCCCGGCCTACTGCAACGTCTGCAATTCATCAAATCTGATACAGTAAGTGGACTGGCCCAGCAGAATTTCCTACGTACTTCACCTAGAATCCACCAGATGACTGCCAGGCTCAGGTAATTAATAGGTCATTATTACTGTCGGGTTGAGTCGACTTCCCCCATTCAAGCTTCATGCGCGTCCAGTAAAAATTGGAAAGAATCTGTTTTTTTGGTTTGTCTACTCGCATCTGGTGAATTTCATAGGAAAAACGATCCGCGCCAGCGTCTACCTGTCACGTGGTCGCAGCTCTGCGTCCTGGCACACCGACGGCCGGCGGACATCGGGTTATAAGAAGGCGAAGCATCCGTCGCGAGGGCCATGTACAGTTAGCTGCCTAACACATGAGATAGGCCTAGTGTA